CCTGCTGGTGGAGGTGATGGTGTGGAGACTAGCGGTAGCACTAGTGGAGCTGCTGGATCCGAGGGAGGAGAGCAGCAGCAGGGGAAAACTAAGAAGCTGAAGGGTGTTGTTATGAGGGGATGGGAGACACCCGTCTCCACGCCAGGACGTACCCGTATGGCTACTATGAAGCTGACTGCAGGAGCTGATGTAGCAGAGCAGCAGCTTGGGACAGAGGAGGCATTGCTGATTCTACCGCATGGCTATGACCCGGATGAGGAGGATGAACCTGTCTACTGTTTTCTTGCCCCTGCACCAGAGGAACCAGCTAGCATGGAGGAGGCATTAGCTGGACCAGATAGGGAGAAGTGGCTGGTTTCTACGGATGCTGAGTACCAGAGCCTGCTAGAGAATGGGACATTGGATCTGGTGGTGTTGCCTGATGGGAAGAAAGCTATACAGTGCAAGTGGCGGCTAAGGATCAAGACCGATGACAAGGGACAGGTCACCATCTACAAGAGTAGGCTGGTGGCTAAGGGGTTTATGCAGAAGGAGAAGCAGGACTTCAATGAGATTTTTGCTCCCACTGCCAAACCCCCTACCCTCCGTGTCTTGTTGGCAGATGCAACCGTTAGTGGGAAATTCATCATTCAGATGGATATATCAACGGCATTCCTCAATGGGATTTTAGAGGAGGATGTGTACATGACGCAGCCGCCTGGGTATGAGGATGGTACAGGCAGGGTGTGCAAGCTGAAAAAGTCCATCTATGGCTTGAAGCAGGCGCCACGCTGCTGGTACCAGAAGTTGGCAGCTGTTTTAGAGGAGATGGGATTCAGGACCAGCAGCTGTGATGAGAGCCTCTTTCTCAAAGGGGAGGGGGAGAAGCTGGTGCTGTTTCTGGTCTACGTGGACGACATTCTTCACTTTAGCAGCAGCATGAAGGAGATCCAGAATGTGCAGCAGCAGCTGATGGAGAACTTCAAGTGCAAGAACCTTGGGGAGGTTAAGTACTACCTCGGGATGCACGTGGAGAGGGATCCAAATCACAGGTGGTTGAAGCTGCACCAGAAGAAGTTCATCAAGGAGCTGGGGGAGAAGTATGGGATTGAGAATGAGCGCAAGGTTGCAACTCCCCTGCCAGCAGAATTCAAGCTTGTGAAGGCTGCAGAGGATGAAGGGGTTGAAGCCGAGGAGCAGCAGAAATTTCAGTCCTTGGTGGGCAGCCTCTTGTATGCAGCAGTTCACTCGAGGCCCGACATCTCTTTCTCGGTTGGGCAGCTGGCTAGGGTGGTGCATAATCCATCAGAGGAGCAGGTGGATGCAGCTGAGCGTGTGGTGAAGTATCTGAACTCTCACCCAAGCATTGGAGTTCAATACTCCGCATCTGCACAGGTGAAGCAGAAAGGGGTTGAGATGCTGAAAGAGAAGGGGGAGCGGCTTGGAGAAGGCAAGGTGTTTCTCGCTTTCTTTACTGATGCTACGTGGGCTTCTGAGAAGGAGGATTCCTCATTTGTGGGAGAATACATCTGTGTAGTTGGTGGAGGACCTGTTAGTTGGAGGTCAAAGAAGCAGACGAAGACGGCACTCTCTTCCGTGGAGTCAGAGTACATGGCAATGTTTCACGGGGTGAAGGAGGTGATTTGGCTGAGGAGGCTGTTAGAGGAGATTGGCCAGGAGCAGAAGGTTGCTACGCCGCTGTTTTGTGATAGCAAGGGAGCTCTTGGGATGGCCAGGAACGCTGTGCTTCATGGGCTGAACAAGCACATGCGTATCAAATGGCACTGGCTGCGTAAGGAGGTGAAGAGGGGGACGGTGAATCCGATCTACATCAAGACTCACCAGCAGCCAGCAGACTTCCTCACCAAGAGGCTTGCGGATGAGCCTCATTGGCGTTGTGTGCGCATGAGTGGAATGAGCATGAACTAGCATGGAATGATGGGGATGTAGCCGGCCAGCTGAGGGGGAGTGTGTTGGGTGCAAATTCACATTGCACGACATCCTGCCATCTGTTTGTACGAGTATGGGTGTACGAATGCATTTGGGTGTGGATGGAATGTTCGTGTGTTTGTTTTCTTTCGCAATTTTTTGCTTGATGGATTTGCAGGTACTCGCGAAATGTGCACTTCGGCACAACATTGTACGCGCTATGAACAGTACAAGCAGAAAGGACGAGCTTGCAAAGGAACCCAAGATGGAAGCTTTGCGGTTCAACTTACTTGATTGCGCAGATTCAGTTCTATCCAACTCGAAATTGTACTGTTTTGTTTGGTTGACTATAGTGTAGCAGGGCAGGCACTATAGAGGTACAATTTAGATGAAGGTTGGATGTTGTTTGTCTCTATCTGCATGCTGTAGGGCCAGGGGAAACCAGCGGAACCAGCATTTGGCTGGTTGGGCAAAGACAAAACAGGTTCTGTTTTTAGGACCTGAACCTGGTTGTTGTTTTCCCAGGTTGGAAAAACAGAACCAGAGGTTGTTTACTAACCTACCACCTGCTGTTTTGTCCTGCCAGGTTAATTCTGTTGCTTGGAATTATTTGGGATCATCCCTGGTTGTTCCCAGGTTGATTCCCAAGGTCCTTGCTATCTAGAACTTTTTTTTTCCTACTCTGTTTGTACCTGGATATAATCAATTTGATTCAAGCAAATTCCTCCCTTCCTGGAATTTCGTTTCTACGCGGTACGACGGCGGAATGCTACCCGAGTCAACGCTAGTACGCTAGCACTACGACGCTAGGCAAACGCTGTCTGAGCTATAACTCCGTAATGGCAGAACTTTTCGCGAGGCAACTTGGCTTGTTTTAAAGCTCTTGGAGCGAGATTCGATATAGGAAATTCTCAGCTTAATCCGATCGATGGTCTGCACGATACACTGCGCGACGTTCAAGGTGTTTTTGCTATTTTGGCTAAGTCATTCTTGACTCCTCTCTCTACAAACTCGGACCCGAGAATAGGGGCTGGTCTTGTACCAGGCACCCAAGGACGCATGGAGGTGACCCCGAGGAGAGGTTTTAAGTTTGATTAAGTCTTATTAGCTTGAGTTTTTTAGGCCCTTACACCAACATGGGCGAGCTGGTTGACAAGGAGGTTGACCTGCACGGGGGCCACTGCACGGGCGCCGACGTCAGGGTGGCGTCGACTTCAGGGAGGTCGACCTGGGAAGTTGACCTACGGAAGGCGTCGACTTGGTGACGCCAACTTGGGGCAGCCGACTTGGGTGGTCGGCTGACAGGCCTGCTGGTCGACTTGGTGGTTGGTCGACCAGGCATGATGTCGACCTGGTGGTCGACCGACCTGGTGGTCGACGGAGGAGAGGCTGACGTGGACCATAACTCATGACGCCGAGGAGCTGGACGTCGAGTAGCAGGGCGCCAACTTGGTGACGCCGACTTCGAATTGCCGACTTGGGTGGTCGGCTGATAATGGTGTGTTGGGTGCAAATTCACATTGCACGACATCCTGCCGTCTGTTTGTAGGAGTATGCGTGTGCGAATGCATTTGCGTGTGAATGGTGTATTCGTGTGTTTGTTTGTTTTCGCAATTTTCGTTTGAAGCATTTGCAGGTACTCGCGCATTGTGCCCTTCGGCACAACATTGTACGCGCTATGAACAACGAAAGTAGAAAGGACGAGCTCGCAAAGGAACCCAAGATGGAAGCTTTGCGGTTCGGCTTACTTCATTGCGAAGATTCAGTTCTATCCAACTCGAAATTGTACTGTTTGTCGGACATATATGACTTAGCCTTTGTAGGCTATTGTGGGGTAGACACTGAGGGGTACAGGATTCTAGGGTTTCATATTTGTACCCAACAGTTTTCTAGTTCATCCATTCCTCATTTCTTCACATGGTATAGAGCGGGTTCCCTATTGGGACCGTTTTTTTTCCTAGGGCCCACCACTTCAAAAATTTTCCTGCCCTGTCCGAAGCGCGTTTTGCGCTCTGCCCTGCTGCCGCTGCTGCGGCCCTGCCCTGCTCCTGCTGCCCGTCGCGGCCCTTCGCGGCCCCTTCGTGGCCCCCTTCGCGGCCCCTTTCCGGCCCCGTCACGGCCCCTTCGCGGCCCCTCCCTTTACGGCCCCGCCCCGGCCCTGTCGCGGCCCCTTCGCGGCCCCTCCGCCGCCCCTTCGCGGCCTCGCCCCGGCCCCGCCGCGGCCTCTTCGCGGCCTCACCCCGGCCCCGTCGCGGCCCCTTCGCGGCCTCGCCCCGGCCCCGTCGCGGCCCCTTCGCGGCCCCGCCCAGGCCCCGTCGCGGCCCCTTCGCGGCCCCGCCCCGGCCCCGTCGCGGCCCCTTCACGGCCCCGCCCCGGCCCCGTCGCGGCCCCTTCGCGGCCCCTTCGCGGCCCGCCCCGGCCCCGTCGCGGCCCCTTCGCGGCCCCTTCGCGGCCCCGCCCCGGCCCCGTCGCGGCCCCTTCGCGGCCTCGCCCCGGCCCCGTCGCGGCCCCTTCGCGGCCTCGCCCCGGCCCCGTCGCGGCCCCTTCGCGGCCCCGCCCAGGCCCCGTCGCGGCCCCTTCGCGGCCCCGCCCCGGCCCCGTCGCGGCCCCTTCACGGCCCCGCCCCGGCCCCGTCGCGGCCCCTTCGCGGCCCCTTCGCGGCCCGCCCCGGCCCCGTCGCGGCCCTTTCGCGGCCCCTTCGCGGCCCCGCCCCGGCCCCGTCGCGACCCCTCCGCGCCCCCCCCCCCCCCCCCCCCCCCCCTTTCCGGCCCTCCCGCGGCCTCCAACTGCAGCAGCCGCCGAGGAGCCCTGCCTGCCGCCGCCGGGGTCGCAAGCCGCCGCCGCCGCTGCCGTCACCGCCGCCCCGGCCCTGACCAGCAGCCGAGCCGCGGCCCTGCCCTGCCGCCCAACTGCGGCCCCTACCCTGCCGGCGCACCACGGCCCTGCCTCACCAGTAGCGGCCGCCTACCCAACCGCCCCTGGTAAGAGCACTACCGAGCCGCCCTGCCCTGCCGAGCCGCCCTGCCCTGCCGAGCCGCCCTGCCCTGCCGAGCCGCGCCTCTTAGCCGAGTCGCACTACTGCTGCTGCTGCCATGGCTAGTCCCAATGTTCTTACCTTCGATGCTGAGGGTCGAGCGGTCGACTTTGAGGTCTGGGTAGATGATCTGCAGCTTTTCTTACAGTGCGATAGCAAGGATGGTCTCTCACTGTTCGATCTCACGTCTGGCGCCTCTACTGCCCCTGCTGCTACTGCTGACAGTACTGTTCGCTCGCAGTGGACCACGCGCGATGCTGCTGCCCGCCTTGCTGAGCGTAGTCACTTACCGTCCACTGAGCGTGCGCACTTTACTCAGTACAAGTCTGCTAAGACTCTGTACGACGCTGTAGTTGCACGCTACTCCTCCCCTGCCACTGCTGCCCTTAGTCGACTCATGCTGCCGTACCTGTTCCCTGACCTCGCCGCCTTTGCCACAGTTGCTGACCTCATTACACACCTCCGCACTAGTGACACCCGCTACCGCGCTGCGCTTCCTGCTGAGTTCTGCGCCAAGAACCGCCCCCTCATGTACATCACCCTCTACTACCTAGTCACTCGGCTCCCTGACTCCCTTCGCTCGGTCAGGGACCACTTCCTCTCTGTTTGCCCCACCACACTCACTGTTGACCTCCTCGAGGAGCGCCTCCTTGCAGCTGAGAAGAGTATAGTCGCTGTAGGAGCCTCTCGTGGTGACCCTCGTGCCCCTTTCTTTGAGGGGTGCTCCCCCGTGCCCCTTTTGCCCTCTATTGCCTCTGCTGCTGCTGTTGACCTCGTTGGCACCGAGTCGGTCGGCACTGCGTCTGCTCCTAGTGGGAGGCGCTGTAACGGCAAGGGCAAGGGAGGCAAGGGTGCTGGAGGAGCTGGCGGGGGAGGCGGTGGTGGCGGTGGAGGCGGCGGAGGGGGTGGGGGTGGGAGTGGTGGCGGGGGTGGGGGCTTCTGTGGCGGCGGTGGAGGTGGAGGCGGCGGCGGCGGCGGCGGTGGGGGTGGAGGAGGCGGTGGCGGCGGCGGAGGTGGAGCTGGTCGGGGTGGAGCTGTGCAGCGGGGAGACTTTGGTGGTGGTCAGCGACAGCATCAGCAGCGCTCTCGTGAGATCCCGTCGCCCCAGCAGCTTCGTGAGTGGTACGCTGCACGCCAGCGGCCTGGGGGTGCTGGTACCTGTGCCTACGTCCTGCGTACAGGCGACCGCACTGGTGAGCCGTGCGGTGGCCTGCACGCCACCCAGCGCTGCTTTGGCCGCCTGACGGACGCCTGGCGTATCCAGTTCTCTGACTCCTCTGAGATCCCTCGCTGGGGTGATCTGCTCAAGTCGGGTGTAGCAATCTTTGAGCTTGACTATGATGCTATTCTTGCTGCCATGTATGTTGTGTCTACTAGTGCTGGGGGTGACTGTTACCTGTGTGTTCTGCCTGACCCGAGCATTGAGGCCATTGCTCTAGGTGCTAGTGAGTCTGCTGCTCCAGGTGCTAGTGAGTCTGCTGCTCCAGGTGCTAGTGAGTCTGCTGCTCCAGGTGCTGGTGAGTCTGCTCTCTCGGGTACCGAGGCGACCCAGGCTTTGCACACCTTCACCCTTGACTCGGGTGCTTCTCGCTCTTTCTTTCGAGACCGCACCACACTCACGCCGCTTCGTCGGCCGGTTGCAGTCTCCCTGGCAGACCCCTCTGGGGGTCCTGTCCTTGCCCACTACTCCACTGTCCTACCGTGTCCGGCGGCCCCTTCTGGCTCTCTGTCAGGTCTTTACCTCCCCTCGTTCTCTACGAACTTGGTGAGTGGTGCTGACCTACAGGATGGGGGGGTTGACCAGTTCACTCCTGCGAGTCAGCGACTGACCCACTGCACGTGTGCTCGGAAGAGCCGGCACTTAGCCACGTTTACCCGTCAGCCGGGGTCGAGCCTGTACACACTGACTACCGAGTCTCCTCCGGTTCTTGCGTCTGGCCAGGTAGCTGCGTCGGGTCAGCTGTTTGCTGCAGCGTCCAGGTCTGGCCCTGAGTCTGCCCCCTGCTCATGTCGTCTCCTGTCTCACCAGACTCTCCTCTGGCACCACCGCCTTGGTCACCCCTCCCTGCCTCGTCTCCGAGGCATGGCCTCCCGTGTCCTTGTCTCTGGTCTCCCCCGGCCCCTCCCTCCCCTTCCCCCGGGACCTGCCCCTACCTGCGTTCCCTGCGTCGAGGGGCGGCAGCGCGCCGCTCCTCACTCCTTCGAGTTTCCTCCGACAGAGGCTCCGCTGCAGACTCTCCACATGGACGTGTGGGGCCCAGCCCGCGTCCGTGGACAGGGTCACGAGCGTTACTTCCTGCTGGTGGTTGACGACTACTCGCGTTACACCACAGTCTTCCCCTTGCGCCGCAAGGGTGAGGTCACTGAGGTGTTGATCGACTGGATCCGCGCTGCCCGTCTCCAGCTCAGAGAGAGTTTCGGCTCAGACTTTCCTGTTCTGCGTCTGCACTCCGACAGAGGTGGAGTGTTTTCCTCCGACCTTTTGCGAGCCTTCTGTCGTACGGAGGGCATCCGCCAGACGTTCACGCTTCCGGCCTCTCCACAGCAAAATGGGATTGCTGAGCGCCGCATTGGCATGGTCATGGACGTCACTCGTACGTCCATGATTCATGCAGCTGCTCCTCATTTTCTGTGGCCATTCGCGGTTCAGTACGCGGCACATCGGATCAACCTTCAGCCCCGGGTCTCCATGCCGGAGACCTCCCCTATTTTGCAGTGGACAAGGAAGGTTGGTGATGCGTCTGCGTTCCGTGTCTAGGGATCTCGAGCTTTTGTCCGCGACTTGTCTGCGGACAAGCTGTCCCCCCGTGCTATTCCCTGCGTCTTCCTTGGCTTCCCCCCTGACGCGCCTGGTTGGCAGTTTTACCACCCCACCTCGCGCCGTGTTCTGTCCTCCCAGGACGTCACGTTTGACGAGTCGGTTCCGTACTACCGTCTCTTTCCCTACCGCGCTGCCCCCCTCCCCCCACCGCCGCTCTTCCTCGCGCCAGGTCCCCCCCCGGTAGACCCCCTCCCCCCTCAGGGTCCTGCCCCCTCAGGTGTGTCCCAGGTAGACGCAGTCGAGCCTATCGAGGTAGCTGCTGACTCTCGTGCTGCTAGGGGTGCTGAGCCTACAGGTGCCGGGTCTGGGGGGGCTGAGCCTGAGCGTGCGGAGCCTGGGGGTGCTGGGTTTGGGGGTGCTGAGTCTGGGGGTGCTGCGCCTGGGGTTGCTGAGTCTGGAGGTGCGGAGCCTTCGGGAGCTGGGCCTGCTCGTGTGGAGTCTGGCGGTGCTGGGCCTGGAGGTCCTTCGTTTGCTTTGTCCCGGCGGGAGCTGCCCTCTCCACAGGAGCTGCGCGAGTGGTTTTCTCGGCACTGGAGCCGTGCTGCTGGAGCTGGTGGTGCTGCTGGTGCTGGAGGTTCTACTGCTGCTGGGGGTGCTGGAGCCACGGGTCCCGGAGGTGCTCGTACTGGAGGTCCTGGAGCTGCTGGGCCTGGTGGTGCTACTGGTGCTGGAGCTACTGGCGGAGCTGGAGCTGGTGGTGCCGCTGGAGCTGGAGCTGCTGGAGGTACTGGAGCTGGAGGTGCTGCTGGAGCTGGTGCTCCTGTAGGTGCTGGATTTGGCGCTACTGGGGCTGCTGGAGGTGCTGCTGGAGCTGGTGGTGCTGCAAGAGTTGGAGCTGACGCTGGGGGTGCTGGTGCTGTCCCTGCTGGTGCTGGAGGCGCTGCGCGGCCGCGGACGTACTTCGTTCCGCTTCTTGAGCAGGTTCTTGGTCTTCTTCCTTCTTCTGGTCCTGCTCCTTCCTTAGAGTGTCCACCGCCTGTCCAGTCCGAGTCACGGTTACAGCTAGCCTCCCCACTGCCTGCTCCTTCTCCCTACGCTGGTCCTACTGGGGGTCTTGCTCAGCGTCGTGAGCCTGGGTCTCGTCCTGCGTCGCCTGTTCGTGCTGCTCGCACTGGTCGTCGTGTTCGGCGTCAGCGTCCTCCTGATGTCCCAGGCACGCACCAGATGGCACTGCGTCCTTCCACTGCTCCACTGCGTGTCCCTTTGCCATCTCCTCCAGAGTCCTCTCTTCCTGCTCTTGCTGACCCGGAGTCTGACTCCCTTCGTGCTGCCAGTCCTTCTGTCACGCGTCTCCTGGCTACTGTTGTCACTGACCCTTCCTTTGAGTCCACTGCTGCGTCTGCCTTAGTAGCTGAGCTTGTCGACTTCGCTGCTCACTGTCGTCTAGACTACGCCGCTCGTCTTGTTGCTGAGTCTGATTCTGTCTGTCCTCCATCCGTCATGGGTGAGTGTGCTCTTAGCACAGACGTCCTAGAGGACAGACAGGAGGAGTTCCTGTGTTTTGCTGCTGCTTTACCTTATCTCGTGTCCATGTTGCTTGCCCCTGAGGGAGACCCGGATGCACCAGACATCCCGACCCCGCGCTCTTACGCAGAGGCGATAGAGGGTCCCTACTCCTCTCAGTGGCAGTCAGCCATGGACGCAGAGATGGCTTCCTGGAAGTCCACAGGCACCTACGTCGACGAGGTTCCCCCACCTGGGGCGAACATCGTCAGTGGCATGTGGATTTTCAGGGTGAAGCGGCCGCCGGGTTCTCCGCCTGTCTTCAAGGCGCGTTACATGGCTCGAGGCTTCAGTCAGCGGCAAGGAGTTGACTACTTTCAGACCTTCTCCCAGACCCCGAAGATGACCACTCTTCGGGTTCTGCTGCACGTCGCTGCTCAGCGTGACTACGAGCTTCACTCTCTTGACTTCAGCACTGCTTTCCTACAGGGCAGCCTGCACAAGGAGATCTGGCTGCGCCGCCCACCTGGCTTTACTGGGTCGTTTCCTCTTGGTACCCAGTGGAGCCTCAGGCGGCCAGTCTACGGTCTCCGCCAGGGCCCCCGTGAGTGGCACGACACACTGAGGACTACGCTTGCGGCTCTTGGGTTTGCTCCTTCTACTGCTGACCCGTCGCTGTTTCTGCGCACAGACACTTCTCTGCCGCCGTTCTACATTCTCGCGTACGTCGACGACTTGGTCTTTGCTACTGCTGACACTGCTGGACTCGCCCACGTGAAGTCCGAGCTGCAGAAGAGACACACGTGCACAGACCTGGATGAACTGCGCAGCTATCTTGGCTTGCAGATCACCCGGGACAGAGCACGGCGCACCATTACCCTGACTCAGTCACACATGGTGCAGCAGGTCCTTCAGCGCTTCGACTTCACGTACTCCTCGCTTCAGGCCACTCCTCTGACTACTCGCCACTCGCTCTCAGCTCTGCCTTCGGATGAGTCCGTAGAGCCGAGTGGCCCGTACCCAGAGCTTGTTGGCAGCCTCATGTACCTGATGACCTGCACTCGACCTGACCTGGCATACCCTCTTAGCATCTTGGCACGCTATGTTGCTCCTGGGAGACACCGACCAGAGCACATGGCTGCAGCGAAGAGGGTGTTGCGCTACTTGTGCAGTACGTTGGGGCATGGGGCTCGTGCTTGGAGGGCGGCATCCAGTAGTTCTTACTGGTCACGCAGACGCGTCTTGGGTTGACGAGCTGGCTACGCAGCGGTCGTCACAGGGTTACACCTTCAGCCTTGGTTCCGGCTCTGTTTCGTGGCGATCTACCCGCTCGTCTTCTGTTCTCAGCTCCAGCTGTGAGGCTGAGATCTACGCAGGGGCCATGGCTGCACAGGAGTTTAGCTGGCTCACCTACCTGCTGACTGCCCTGGGAGAGCCGCCTCGTTCTCCTCTAGTTCTCTACGTAGACAACAAGGCCATGCAGGCCTTGTGTCGGGAGCACAGACTAGAGCACAGAACGAAGCACATTGCTCGTGAGCTCCAGCAGCGCGGTCAGCTGCGCCGTGCTTACGTGGCCTCTCAGGCCAACACTGCTGATATTTTCACCAAGGTGGTTCAACCTTGTGATCATCAGCGCCTCTGTACTATGCTAGGTCTTGTGCCTACTTGGCCTCACTTGCTTACCTCTTGACTTTGCTTGTACTGTGATCTATATATACCTGCACCTGCATGTTTACCTTGATTTATAATCCTGCATGTGTACTGGCCTTGTGGCCTCTGAACTTGTGCTCGGAATGTGTGGTGACTGCTTTGCTTTGCTTGACTGGTCTTGTGACCCCTAGTTCTCCCCCACTTTGCCTATGGGGGTGTGTCAGACATATATGTCTTAGCCTTTGTAGGCTATAGTGGGGTAGACACTGAGGGGTACAGGTTTCTAGGGTTTCATATTTGTACCCAACAGTTTTCTAGTTCATCCATTCCTCATTTCTTCACACTGTTTTGTTTGGTTGATTATAGTGTAGCAGAGCAGGCAATATAGGGGTACAATTTAGGTGAAGGTTGGATGTTGTTTGTCTGTATCTGCATGCTACAGGGCCAGGGGAGACCAGCGGAACCAGCGTTTGGCTGGTTGGGCAATGACAAACCAGGTTCTGTTTTTTGACCTGAACCTGGTTGTTGTTTTTCCAGGTTGGAAAAACAGAACCAGAGGTTGTTTGCCAGCCTACCACCTGCTGTTTTGTCCAGCCAGGTTGGTTCTGTTGCTTGAAATTATTTGGGATCATCCTTGGTTGTTCCCAGGTTGATTCCCAAGGTCCTTGCTAGCTAGAACTATTTATTCCTTCTCTGTTTGTACGTGAATATAGTCAATTTGATTCAATCGGATTCCTCCCTTCCTGGAATTTCGTTTCTACGCGGTGCGACGGCGGAATGCTACCCAAGTCAACGCTAGTACGCTAGCACTCCAACACTAGGCAAACGCTGTCCGAGCCATAACTCTGTAATGGCAGAACTTTTCGCGAGGGAACTTGGCTTATTTTAAAGCTCTTGGAGCGAGCTTCGATATATTAAAGTCTCAGCTTAATCCGATCGACAGTCTGCACGAAACGCTGTGCAACGTTCAAGGTACTCTTGCTGTTTTGACTAAGTCCCTCTTGATCCCTCTCTCTACAAACTCAGACCCGAGGACAGGGGCTGGTCTTGTACCAGGCATCCAAGGACCCGTGGAGGTGACCCCGAGAAGAGGTTTTAAGTTTGATAAAGTCTTAATAGCTTGAGTTTATTCGGCCCTCACACCAACAAGCTGGTATCAGAGCTTGCATTAAAGTGATCCTCGTTATAGGTAGCTATGGCGGGCAACACCTCGACGGGAGCTGGTGAATCTTCAGCCCAAGATCGTAGCGGCAGCCAAGATTCTGGTGTTTCAGCGCCAAGGGGAGCGCGAACAAACCAGGGCTCGCTGGTCAAGGAGGTGCTGAAGAACTTCACCATCGAGAAGTTCAATGGTGAGGGCTATGATGATTGGGCCTGGAATATGCAACTCTATTACCGTCAGATCGGTTTGCTCAAACTAATGATTGGGGAGGAGCCTAGACCAAGTGACCCCACGCTGCAGGAAGATTGAGACGAGGGCTCCTCGGCTGGCTACTATTTGATGTCGCAGAGTTTGGAGCTGAACCAGCGTCACCATGTCATGCACCTGCTGCCGGAGGTTGAGTGCGGTCCGAAGGCGTGGACATTGTTGAAGGAGCTAAACGCCCCGACCTTCGTTGTCGCAACGTTGATGCTGGAGAGGGAGCTGTCCGCGTTGCGCCTGAGCGAGGGAGAGCCGGTGCAACCTGTCCTGGACAAAATGCGCGACCTCTACGTGAAGTTGGTGACCGCGGGAATCACCTACCCGGAGCAGACCAAGTGCTTGAAGATGCTCTCGCTGCTGCCGGAATTGTGGCTTCAATTCACGAGCGGATTGAGAAAGCATGCACTCCTCCAAATCATGCACCTCATGATCATGCATGCAAGCATACTGTGCACTTGGTGTGAACCTTTCAGGTGGCCGGGAGATGCGTGTGGTGCGGCGCAGAGGTGAGGCCTCCCCCTGCTCCGAACTTTGCAGCTTCTCCTTCCAAGTCACTCTCTTCATGGGGGACCGTGGTGACTTGGACAGCTGCTGCTTCAGTAGTTGCTGCCACCTACCCACAGGAACAGGTGGTGTATACTCCTGTGCTGGCTGCTGCGGCTTCTCTTGTTGCTGCTGCTGCCCCTGTGGCTACTCCGGGTCATGGGCTGGTGCGTTAGGGTCAGGGGTAGAGCCAGCAGTTGGTGACTCCTCATGGTGAGGTGCAGCTGCCTTTTTTTCCTCTTGCTGCTCCTCTACCTCCTCTCCAGGGTCCTCCCATGCCCCCTCAAAGATGGAAGAGGTGTAGGGATCCTGGAGGGAGCTCCAAACTGTACTAGCACCATGCTCCTTCCACCCCTTGTAGCTCAGCCCCTCGTGGAAAACCACATCTCTGCTTTCTACCATCCGCTGATCCGCCACACTCCACAACATCCAAGCTTTGCTCCTCTCCGACACCCCAAGAAAAATGCCCCATTGTGCCTTAGGATCCAGCTTCCTCCGTTGCTGGTCGGGCACTTTGTACTGCGCCATGCACCCCCACACTCGTGCCATGGACACACTAGGTACCTTCCTGGTCCACATGAAGTAAGGGCTCTTGCCCCCTAGCCCCTTGCTGCCCATTCTGTTCTTAACCCAGTTGGCATATTGCACTGCTGCCCCCCACCAAGTATGGTCTAGCTGCGCATGAGCAAGCATGGCTCGGGCAAGGTCAATGAGGGTCCGGTTTAGCCGCTCCGCTGCCCCATTTTGCTGCGGCGTGTAGGCAACTGAAAGCTGGTGGGTGATGCCCTTGTCTTCAAGGAAAGACTCCAGATCCTTCCCCATGTACTCCCCACCCCAATCAGACCTTAGTATCTTCACCTTCACCCCGGCTTCCCTCTCCGCATAGCGTATCCAACGCTTGAAGACCTTGGCCACCTCATCCTTGGTTTTCACCAGGGTAACCCAACTTAGGCGGCTGAAGTCATCCAAGAAGGTGATGAAGTATTTGCATGGGGCCACACACATCCGTGTGCACCAACTCAAGAGGTGCGGAGGCTCTAGTGGTGGAGGTAGGGAAAGAGGTCCTTGGCAGCTTCCCGGTAGTGCAATCAGGGCACTTGCTTGGCTGCCCACTACCCTCCTTGATCTCCACACCCTTCTGCTCCCCCTTCTTCACACACTCCACAAGTTGCTGCCTTCCTGCATGCCCCATGCGTAGGTGCAGCAAATCTGCCATCACCTGCTCCACGTCCCTCTAACGGGTGCTACAAGTGGCTTCCTCGGCTTCAATACCATCTGCCCTCTCCACCTGAGGCACACAAACTGGAACAAGGTTTAGACCCTTCTCTAATTTGGCCTCCATCACCACAGCTCCTCCCTTGCGAATCGTGCCACCTTCCATGGTGAAGGTGCATATGTATTCTTGCCTCGCAAGCTAAGAGCATGAGAGAAGGTTGGCTGCCAATTCAGGAACATGAAGCACACCCTTCACATTCAGCACCTCCCCCTCCTTCCCCTTGATGGTGATGGTGCCAATGCCGATTGCTTGCAGCGTATCTCCGCTCCCCACAATCACATTTCTGGAGTTAGGTGGGAGTGAGTGATAGGTGGTGAAGAGGTCGCGCCGAGGTACCATTCCACAGGTTGCCCCAGAGTCTAGAATGAGCTGATTGGGGTCAGCCAACACACGACCAGCAAGCGCCGTCTCCTTCTCCAAGGATAAAAAGGAGAAACCATCATCCGATGAGTCCTCCTTTCCCTTCTTATTCTCGTTTGCCGCCGTTGCTGCCGCTTTCTCTTTGCTGCCCTTCTTGTTCCATGCTCCATTCTTCATCCTCCTCTCCACCCACTCAGGCCTAGTGACAGGTGGAGCCTCTCCTGGGTACCCTTGAGGCTTCCACCCGTCAGGACGGCTCCAACACTCCTTCCAAGAGTGCTTCCGGTTGCATCCAGGGACGAGGCACTTGTCGAGCTCCTTCTTCTTCCCCCCACCTCCTTGCCACTGCTGGTACTTCCTGGAGGCAGCCCTATCACCTGCCCCCATTCTCCCTTCAACTCCTCTACCAGCATCATGCTTGCGAGCCTCATCAGAAACCAACACCTCCCATATCCAGGCCTTGGTCCATTTCTGCTGCTCTAAGTAAATGTATTGTAGTAGAGCCTCGTTTGCTTCTTGGTCCAGCCCCTGGAGTGCGGTGTAGATGATCTCCTTCTCATCTACTTCATAGTTCAGCTCCTCCAATGCCCTCACATACTCATCCACCCTCTGGAGGTACTGCACCATGGTCTCCCCATCGCCATAGTTGCGTTCCATGGTGTAGAACCGCTTCCTCCATGTGAGTATGCTTAGCAACCCTTTTTGCAAATGTCGATCTTGAACTCTCTTCCATGCAAGTGCAGCTGCTCCTTGCTTGCCCTTCAGGTCAATCAGCATCTTTAGGAGCTCTAGTTGGCCTTCCAAGGCCCAACACAGGTACTGGAACGCTTGCTTGTCCTTGCGGTATCATGCTTCCTGTGCCTTAAGAAGCTCCTCTGTACTAAGCCGTTCCGGTTCGCGGTGCTGCTGATCCACCTCCACTTCCCTCAGTTATGGATGAGCTAAAGGCTCCCCCAGCCCCTTCTCCCACTTGGCTAAAGACTCCAGTAGATGCCTTTCCTTCATCAGCTTCAGGTCTTCGCTCCGATCCCTCCAAAACGCCTTCTAGGTCTTTGATACCTAGCCAAAGCGTAAACTGGAACCGCCATAGCAAAAAATCCGAGCTGGTGAACCTAGGAGGGGCATCTAATTTCTGGGCCATGACCAACCCTAGATCTAGAGGTCCTTCAACCAATTCGAAATATGATGAAAAGAGGGAATGTCGCAAGCCTAACCAGCTCTGATACCGCTGATGGAAAGCGAGCGAATCTGGAGAGCGTACAAGAGATTACGTCCGCTGACTTTGACGGAACATTGCGTGCAGCTCACGTAACCTTAAACTATGAGTAGGTACGCGTTGGAAAGGTCTTAATCTCTAATTTCCTGAATAGTAACGCACACTTTCAACCGTGATCTAGGCCGATCGCTATCGCGATGTAAGTGCGACGGGGTATCCTGGCGAAATTACTTGGCAGCCATGGATTAGATCAAGAAAGTAGCTTTACCAAGAGTTCAGATCTGCAAAGTGACGAGTTCTTCAAACCCTACCAACCCAACCCTCGCCCTACAACAATCCCCAATAACCCAAAGTGCTTAACTAACAACACCAAAGGTGTTGTAGTGAATAGCAAACGTTTGTTGGTGCTTGTTGGGTGCGAGATCAATTCCAGCCCGCAACAAGTCTAACCATCACATTTTGCCCAAACCCTTAGCCCACAACCAGCTAGAGCAAAATACCACAACCACCTACACAATCAACAATTTGAAGGTCACGAGTTCGAATCCCAGCGCAGACATCTTGTTGCTCATGGCAGCATTTCCTTCTAACACGCCCCCTTGCTGTGCGGAGCACGCTGGACCAGCCCGGCTGCTGCACAGCATCGGTTGAAGGCTGCCTTGTCGAGCCGTTTCGTGAAGAAGTCCGCGGTCTGCGCCGTCGTAGGGATGTGCTGCATCTCCAACTTCTTCATGTGCACCATGTCCTGTAGCCACATGTGGCGACAGTCCACATGCTTCATGCGCCCCTACAGCCCGCCCGCCTGGCTGAGCTGCACCTCTGACATGCTGTCCAAGTACAAGGTGGTGGGGACACCCTTCTTGAGCAGCTGAAACTCCCACAGCAGGAACCTTAGCTTGCGCCCCTCCTTTCCCGCTTCCACCGCAGCCACAAGCTCGCTCTCGGTGGAGGAAAGTTTGGTTGCACCCTGCAGCTTCTTGGCCTGCCATGAAAAGGCAGCTCCGCCAAGCTTGAAGAGGTAGCCTCCCGTGGACGGCCGGTTTTCCTTGTCGCCTGCATCATCCGCATCCACATACCCTACGAGAGTCAAACTCTCTAGTCCTCCCTTGAACAGCAGCCCCTTGTCCGGTGAGGCAGCCTAGTAGGAGAGTGTGCGGAAGAGCTCATGCCAATGCGCATTGGTCCTGAGGTGTGCACCTGCTGCAAGGCGACTGCATGCAAAAGAGAGGTCAGGACGGGTTGAGATGGCTGCAAACTGCACCATGCCGAGAATTGACAAGTACTCGGTCACAGTACGGTTGGCAAACTGCCCAGCATCCTGCTTGGCAAAGCTGGCAGAGAAGAGAGGAGTGATCGGCTGCTTCTTTGGTGGCGCCCCCTCCGCTGTTGCACCTTCGCCACGTACGCATTCTGGTGCAGGAAGAGTGTCCTGTTGGGGCGATCTCGCACAATCTGCAGCCCCAGGTAGCGCTCCACTGGCTCCACCTCACGGAGCTGAAACGCCTTGGCCAGCAGCCCCTTCAGGTCCTGCAGCAGCTGCTGGTCTTCACTTGCCGCTAGCAGGTCATCCACGTAGATTTGCAGCCACACGCGCTTCCCGCTCGCCCCATCCTTGTAGTATAGGGCATCCACAATGCTCTTCTTGTACCCCTCCACAAGGAGCACCTTGTCCAGCTCCTTGTACCGCAGAAGGGGACTCTGCTTTAGCCCGTAAAGGCTCTTCTGCAGGAGGCACACCTTGCTGCTACCGTCGGTGAAGTAGGGCGGCTGCTGCATGTAGATCTCGTGGTCGATGGTGCCGTGGAGAAATGCATTCTTCACATCAAGCTGCAGCAAATCTAGGTCCATAGCTGCTGCGATCGAGAGGAGCACGCGAACGGTGGTGTAGCTGCCAACAGGAGCGTAAGTGTCGTCGTAGTCGATGCCGAAGCGCTGGCTAAAGCCCTTAGCCACGAGCCTGGCCACTTCTCCACGGTGCCATCAGGCCGCAGCTTCTTCTTCAGCAGCCACTTGACGACGACGGTTTTGCGACTTTCAGGTAGGTCAGCCAACGTCCAAGTGCCTTGCTCATCAAGGCTCTCCATCTCCTCCTTCATAGCAGCCCACCATTCCTTGCCTTCAGGTCCGGTCAACGCAGTTGCCAGGTCGAGGATGACACCTCCCCAAGCGCCTTCCTCCTCCTCATCCTTGTCCGGGTACTCCACTTCGTCATCGCTGTCCGTGTCGCACTCGTCCTCAGCAAGGTACGACACGTCGTACGGGTTGTCCTCATCATCCGCATCCAGGGCCGTCATGGCTGATGGCTGAAACCGTACGGGTGGCACCCCCTTGTTAGGCCTGCTGGAATGACGTGGGGGTGGTGGAATGGGCTGGACGGGGGGAACTGCAGGTGAAGGCTCATGCTCATGGGCCATTGGTGACTGCTCATCCACTGCTACTTCTCTTTCTTCCTCCTCGTGATCAGCCATGCTGGTGTCAACCTCCAAAGGACCATCCTCTGGTCCTACGGGCGCTGAATCAGCAACGGAGGGTGGACCAAGAGGAGGAGGTGCAGTAGGTGCCTTGCTGCCCAAAGGGCCCACCGAGCGATCAAGGGGTTTCTCGCCCCCTTGTACGGACGGTACTGGGACCACGATGACGGTACGTGGTGGCGGCGGATTCTGCTCGGGGTCATGGGGCTTAGGGAAGAGAGATGGGACTGAAGCAAAGGGTGGTGTGGGCTGGTCATTCCCGTCACCCACGCGTGCACGCCACTTCTGCCACCGTTCAAGTGACATGTCCTCATAAAAACGTGCATCCCGGGTGATGACCATGCGTTTTGACTCAACATCCACCACTCGCCATCCCTTACTTTCCATGCTCATGCCCAAATGCATGCCCCAACGAGTCTTGCTTGCAAGCTTCCCCTCACGTTCATGCTCAGGAATGAGGTACTGCACCATGCACCCGAACACACGGACCATGGACACATCAGGCTTGACTTTGAACACCACCAAATGAGGGGTCACACCATGGGGCAGGGTGGATTGGTGCACAGGTTTACCACCCACAAGAACTGCTGGAAAGCGAAGTGCCACCAGTGTGCTTTCACCCCCATGTGCCCCAACATCACACGCATGCCCTCGGTTACCGTACGGTTGCGGGATTCAGCCACACCCTTTCGCTGGGGGGTCGAGGGGCAGGAAAGTTGACGTAAAATTCCTCGTTGCTTCAGCAGCAACAGAAACTCATTCGACATAAACTCCCCTCCCCGGTCCGACCGCAACACCTTCAGCATCATCCCGGTTTGGCGTTCAGCTTCGGGAAGCCATTCTTCGAAGGCAGCAAGCGCGTCGCTCTTCAGCTTCAACGTCTTCCCCCAGGTGTAACGTGAGGCGTGGTCGACAAAAAGAATCTAGTACCTGCTTCCATCCATGGCTAGGGTCTGAAATGGACCACACACGTCAGTATGGACCAGCCCAAGTACCTGCTCCTCTCGCTCGTCGTGCAGCGGAAATGATTCACGAGTGAGTTTGGCTTCATGGCAGGAGGTGCACGGCATATCCTCACCTCTTTTCTCCATGTCCATACCAAACACGCCACTGCTCGTGGCTGTCCTCTTCACCGCATCGAAGTGGACGTGTCCAAGGCGAGCGTGCCACAGGTTGGGCATTGCCTTGGAGCCCACCGCGTACGTCTTGAGGCTGGCCGCTCCATCTTTAGCTTCCGGCTTGCTTGACGCCACATCAGCAATCTCCTTCGCAGTGCCGTTGCTTGCCGTTGCAGCCGTCGTGCCGTTGCATGCCGATGCAGCCCCTGTGCTGTTGCTCGCTGCTCCACCCGCCATATCGGTGCATGCCGCTGCAGCCGCCATGCCGTTGCATGCCGCTGCAGCCGTTGCACCGTTCCTTGCTGGCCTCGGTTTCAGGTCAAGGCAGTGAAGGCGATGGCGGTATCGTGTCGTTGGAGCCACTTGACCTCCTGATGCGATGATGCGAGTGACACCTTCCTCGGTTTGCAGCTTTGCTCCCTTGTCCAAGAGCTGCCCAAGGGAGACCAAGTTGGCCTTCATTCCTGGCACAAAAAGGACATCATGTAGGGTCACACGCAAGCCGTTAGTGCCCTCTAGCAAAACCTCACCAACAACGGCAACTTCCTGCATAGAACCATCAAACCCTTTGACTGATTTCGTTGCAGATGGGTCACGGATCACCGTGAACCACTCCTTGCGGCCGGTCATGTGTTGGGAGCATCCTGAGTCAAGGAACCACAAGTCCTTGTCGTCAGCCAGCAACTTTGCAGCCGAACACGCGACGGTGAGCGCCACGCCCTTTCCGTCTCCTTCAGCTACGTTCGCGGCTGCCGCGGGCGTTGTATCTTTCTTCTTGTTGGGGCACTTGGCAGCCATGTGCCCCTCCTCATTGCAGTTGTAGCAGCGCCCCTTGAAGGGGGCTCGCTTCTTCTCCCGCTTGCCATCCTTCTTCTTGTCTGTCTGGTCCCTTCCCCCTTTTCCTTCCTTCCCATTGACCCCCGTTGTAGCCACGATGGTGTTGACAGAGCCCGAGAAAGCAGATGCATCGCTGGTGATCTGCTTGTAACTCTGTTTGATGGAGAGAGTCTGCTCCTCCATCAACACCTCGCTGCACACGCGTTCCACCATCATGTCAGGGCTGGAAATTTCGAGCTTGCGGCGAAGTAATCCGAACTCCGGTGGTAGGCCCTTCAGCACGTGGGCGGCAAACGTGGCCATGTGGACCTCCTGTCCAATGGTCAGCAGCTTCGCTCGGATGGTGCGGGCCCTATTGCAGTAGGATTACTCCATCTCATCATCTCACTTCCTGAGTTGGGCTAACTGGGTCTGAAGTAGGGAAGCGTGGAGGGCATCACAAACTTGATAAGTAGACAAGATATATGCCCATGCTAGCTGCCCGGCATTCTCTTGCTGAGAGAAACCAGAGATAGACATTCGGATGGGTGGAGAAACATATCGGTTCAGCAACATGAATGCAAGCATTTGGCCCTTTGCGTACTCCCTTCGTTGCAAGGGGTTGTTTGGGGCCGGGCTTGGTGCTGTCCCATTGCAAAACTGCCACAAATCAGCACACTGGAGCTGAGGTCGGATGGCGCTGACCCACGCGGTAAGGTCGTGCCTTCCCTCCAGTAGCGGCGTCACGGAGATGTGTTCAACTCCAAACTTGAATTGACCGTAGCTCGTCCCGATCAGTCCCACGTCAATGGTCAGTGCAACAGCTCCTCTGCCAATGCCCACGGCAGTTGGAGCTTCGTGCACAGCTCCTCCTACGTCAGTTCCTCTTTGCTGGCCACTCACAGGTGCTTGCTCCGCCGCGCGCTCCCGAACCATGCGTAGTAGACGGCCGTCCACAATAAGGTCGACCTCCTCATCACGCAAGTGAGGGTGGTGCTCACGAACGGACGCCTCCAGCTCCTGACGGGCATTCAGACCCTTAGCGCTCGTTAACCACTCCATGCGCAGTCAAAACGAGCGTCAGCCACACCAACGTGGGAACGAAGTGATGGGAGGACGAAATCAAGCCGCTAGTTGGATCAACGCAGATAACGCAGCTCTGATACCATATAGAATTCCACTACTATAGAAGCTTGATAGAGCTTGAAAGCACCAACGCACCAAAGATTGCAGGAAACAATCCACTATAGCCAGAGTTACAAACAAACATAGCAGTGATAATGACTTGGTTGATTTCTGGTTTGTGCTCTCTGGTTTTATACTAGGACGCAATACAAAATAAAGGCACACAAGAAAGTGTCGACCCGGGTCGCACGTTGAATTTCGTCGATGCGAAATTCGGAGCCTTGAATTTCGCCAAGCGAATTCTATTGACTGGAATTCCGTAGACAAGAATTTCCGCGATAAGAATTCCGTCGACCACCGACTGTAACTCCTGTGCGAATTTCTTTGACTTCGACACTTCGCTGCCGAGTTTCAAACCGAACGCGACCCGATATCGATTTCGCCAAACTGTCCCCAATCTGTCCCCAAACTGTCCCCAATCTGTCCTGACCAGCGCCTTAGCAGAAACTGTCCTGAATCTGTCCTGAGACACTTTTAGGACAGATTTGAAGGTCACGAGTTCGAATCCCAGCGCAGACATCTTGTTGCTCGTGGCAGCATTTCCTTCTAACAGATCAGTCATCAGTTGACGGCTTTGTATGCATGGTTGGAGGTGGACCAGTGAGCTGGAGGTCCAAGAAGCAGTGTGAGATTGCTCAGTCTTCCGGAGAGGCAGAGTACACGGCGATGTACCATGCCATCAAGGTGATCGTGCTCTTGAGGAAGCTGCTGCAGGACATGGGAGCTGAACAGGAGGGACCTACACCACTTTCCTCCGACAGCGAGGGTGCTATTGGCATGGCCAATAATTCTATCCTGAATGGGCTGAACAAGCACATGAAGATTAAGTGGCACTGGGTGAGGCAGATGGTGAAGGAGAGGATTGCTGAGCCTCACCATGTGAAGGCTAGCAAGCAGGCGGCATCAAGAGACTTCCCGAGAGCGCACATTGGAAGTGTGCTAAGATGTGTGGCATGGGATTGCACTAGTGTGGGCAGCAGTATCATGAGTGCATATGTGATTGTGTGCATGAGAGTTTGCATTTGTGTGAGTATGTGTGCATGCAGTCCGTTAGTCTGAGGGGGAGTTTGTTGAATGCACGTCATTCTGAGTGCATGTCATCCTAACGTCATCATCTCTGTATTTTTCTCCAAGTTTAAATGCTTGATCATGCAGGAGAAATCCAGAGCTTTCCAACGATACCAAAATCGCCTTATTCCGACAAAGATCGCCTAAGTTACAATATTTTCAAGACTTTGATTTCTTATCACCTTTTGGGGTTATATCAAATTTAGGTGATTAATTGGACATGACAATAAAATAATATGATCTTTGGTTGGGTGGTTAGGAACGCAACTTTGATTTTTGGATTGGGGTGGCTAGAAGTTTCTAGCATGGGTTCCCAATGTTGCAACACCTACGCAAAATCCAACTAGATTGGATTTTGCTTGTGACACCTCAAGGACGTCATGATGAGGGTTGCATCTTTGCTGCTAGGAAGGTTCTTACCATCCTTCCCTAGCTCTTGGAGAACCCCTTCCCTTTCATGGTTCTTTTGGAGTCCCCAACTCCAACTTCCTATCCCTTAAATGTTTGTACTTCCTCAACCATTCTAGTCATGCGGCTGCTGGACGTTTTCAAGTCGTTCTCACTGTCTAGACCATCTTTTTAAGTGATCCAAGTTGGAAATGGCAGTTAAGCATAATGCGCATAATCCTACCGAGCGGATTTGCGATCAGTTGAGAGATGAGTTCGTCGTAAGCTCTCAAAGTGAGGGATCCTGAACAACATAGTTGTGCTCACTGGGCATTCAGTCGCTTCTTGGGTAGACGACCAGAAGACTCAGCAGTCGTCACAGGGTTACACTTTCAGTCTCAGCTCTGATTCTGTCTTTTGGAGGTCCACCCGCTCGTCTTCTGTTCTCAGCTCCAGTTGTGATGCTGAAATCTACGTGAGGGCCATGGCTGCACAGGAGTTACGCTGCTTGACCTATATGCTGACCACTTGGGTGAGCAACCTCGTTCTCCTCCAGTCTTCTACGTCGACAACAAGGCCATGATAGCCTTGTGTCGGAGCAGAGACTGGATCACGGAACGAAGCACATCGCTCTGCGTTACTTCCTTGCCTACGAGTTACAGCAGCGTGGTCAGCTTCGTCTTGCTTACGTGGCCTCACAGACCAACACTGCTAATATCTTCACCAAGGCCCTTGAGTCTGGTTATCATTAGCGTTTCTGCACTGCTCTAGGCCTTGTGCCTACTTTGCCTCACTTGCTTACCTCTTGACTTTGCTTTGTTCTTAGTCTACCTGTATGTCTACATGCTTACTCTTGCTATGTTATGATCGCTATACTTCTTGCACTATTATGACTATGCATGTGAACTGGCCTTGTGGCCGCTTGCTTGTGCTCGGACTATGTGGTGACTTTGCGATCCACCCTAAGCTTTTCGTGTTGCTTTTCTTCACTGATCTTGTGAGCACTTGTTGTTCGTGCTGTCCCCTCACTTTGCTTATGGGGGTGTGTCAAACTAGACACATGTTGGTTGTTTAGTCCCATAGAAGGTACAACCTATTAGGGTCAGTACTTAGTAAATCATTGCCCTAATAAATCATTCCGCTGTACTCTCTTTCTTGACACTTGTATCCGGGCGTTTACAGTATACATCACAAGACCCTAGGGTCTTTATCCCGGGAATTACAGTTTAGTAGCGTATTTCAACATTTACACTCAGCTACTTGTCAATGCTAAACATACTTATCCTTAGTTGTCATCAAGAAACTGAAGCTGCCCGTCGAGGCTTAACGCAGTGGAAACAGCCTCCTTCTCCTGGACCTGCTCATCCACCTTCACTGCCGCAATCAGCTTCTCTATCCCCAGCACCTCCTCCCGGATGGCCTGCAGCTCGTTGGCGACGTGCGCCATGCTTGGGCGGGCTGCAGTGCGCTCGGCGGTGCAAGAGAGGGCGAGCTCAACCACACGCATCACAGCATCTGCAGGGGCGTCCATGGTGGGGTGCTTGAGGCTGTCCAAGTCCCCCGAGGAGAGGCAGTCCGACGCCTGCGAGAGTGGAGCGGGTGGGAAAAATCACAAACGGACAAAGGTGAGCCAGGTCAAGAAGACGGTGATGACAGAATACCTCTTAGATGCCACTGAGATGATGCTATATAAGTTTTTGTGTAGAAGTGGAATAGTTCTTACCCTCAGAGTGATCCGCACGCCTTGACAAGACCATTAGCAAAATCAGATGTGCGTAAGAAATACCACAACCAACCACTCTGCAGCAGACAGGGGTGTTCTCTCTACTATTGAGACGACACCATTACGGAAACCTTGGTGCTTACCCATTTTGTGACCAGCTGATCCGCTTCATCAGCCTCCACAAATGGAGGGCGTCCGGTAAATACGACCAGCATGAGCACTCCAAAGCCGAAAGAAGAGTTTAATGGCACATGATGATCAGGGCACACGATGCAGAGGAAGAGCCTGAGATGGGCACTTGACATGAATCTTGCCACCTAAATACAGTGTGCACAGGTTTGTACATAGCACATAGCACTGGAGCCTCCTCAAATGCTTCTCAGGGGATGCCTGCAATGATTCGAAGGGGCTCTGCAATGCTCTATAAAGGGTTTTCTGAAATGCTTTCTAAGGTTCCCCTACAATGCTTTCTAGAGGAGTCCTACAATGTCTTTTAAGGGTCTCTTGCAATGATTTTTTTTTTATGGGGGTCCTGAAATGCTTTATACGGGACTCCTGCAATGCTTTAAAGGAGAATCCTGCAATGATTTCTATTTGACTCCTGCAATGCAATTAGAGGGTCTCCTGCATTAAAATATAAGGGAATCCTGTAATTCTTGTAAAGGGACCCCTGCAATGCTTTCGAAAGTGTCGCTTGCGATGTTACATAAGGGACTCCTACGATGGTTTCTAATGGTTTCCGGCAAAACGTTCTAAGGGTTTCCAGCCTCACGTGTACACATCGCTGGCAGTGGTGGCCTTGCATGTGCTGAAGTAGGCTGGATCCACATAGCCCGGTGTGCCCATGACCCGAGTCGTGCTTACATAATTTTCCTCCCCCGTCCTCACCAGCCCAAAGTCTGCAACCTTTGCCTGGTGATGTTCAGGAGAGTCATTGTAGCATGAGGGATGAAGAACAGAGCATGAAAATTGGTTGCAGGTGGTGCTATCCACAACAGAGCATGGTTTGTGAGCAAGGATGAATTTAAGGTTGCAGTAAGAAATGAGATATTGAGTTCAACCATAAGATGTGTCCGGTAGTGTACAGCAGTCAGATGCATACTACATTAGTATGAGTGCATAGTTTGACCAAGATCTGACACATCTTGAGCAGATGTTTATTTGAAAATACCATTTGGGGCGAACACACCTCCCTTCAGGGGAGCGCGTTCAATTCGTTCGTCGCGTTCGTACTCCACTGTGAGTCAGGGGACAGATTTCAGCACCCCACTGTGAGTTGGAGTCGCGGTTCGCCTCTGTATCCATCAAAACCAGCACGTCGGATTTGACGCGTTGTTTCTACTTAGGCAGGGAAAGCAAATCTTGAGTTCTGTTTTAAGCTCTGTTTACGACACCTTTAGCCACAACACTCAAGCATCACCAAGCATTAGATTCATTGCAAGGCGAATGGCGTGTGAAGGTGAGTTCGTAAAATGTTCAAGCTGAGCCATCAATTCCAATTCGTAGTATCCTCCTGCTTTGTTTCACGCTTACAAGGTAACAGTTTTAAACATTAATTCATATTGTGTTATCCCTTGGTGTTACCTTGCATGAATTCTTTTTTTTTTTTGTGCTAAAATACAACTGCTTAGAACCGTTTCTTTTGAGGTCAGTTAATTCTTCCGCTAAGTACTTGGGCTGGAGTGTGGTGAGTTGAATCTAGCGTGCGAGGAGTACGACTAGGGTAGATGTGGCAAATCTTCCGAGGTGCATTGCGGTCCGGTAGGTTTTTGGGTGGGGTAGACTGGCCGAGGAATTGGCGCGACAAAAAATGTGCGACACTTCGAATCGCAACTGCCAAAACACGAACTGTCGCAAACTTGCTTTCCCTGCCCTGTAATGAATCAGGTCCTCCAATGATCCCTCGAATAAACAATTTTGAGTTTGAGGCAAACGCTCATGGGTTCGTGGCAAACCCTGAATCTTGAAAAAAAAAAATCGTGACAAACTTAATCCGAATGTGTTCAGTTCGCCTAAGGTAAGTGTTTGTTGGGTTTGAGGCAAACACACTTGATTTTGGCTTTTGATCATGTCCATCTTGCTGTGCCACTCAGGATCTGGTAAGGATATCATTAGTTGCTTATCCAGACTTGAACGCATTGCCTGATCAAGATTAACCAGCCTTGCGTCCATCAAGGAAATCATTCTGACACCAAAGCGATCTACCAGAAGCAAGCTTGCCTGCATGGTGTCAGTGATGAGGACGTTGGCAGGATTGATGTCGCGATGCACGATGGCAAAGCTGTGCAGGTACTCGACACCCCGTGCCATGCCAGTCAGAATGTCCAGCCGCTGCTTCTGAGTCAAAGGGCGTTCGGAATCTGCAAGGAAAAAGTGGCAGCATGAGTGGCACGGCAGATGAGTGGCAGAGGATGAATGGCAGAGGGCAGGCTAGATGGAAAGGATGTGTGGCACAACATATGTTTGGCAAGCTGCTTCAGAGTCAGAGGGCACTCTGCGTATGCAAGGATGGGTAGCATATATGGTACAGCATATGAACGGATGGCTAATGTGTTTTGCGGTTCTACTTATTCTTCAATGTAATTAAAAGACACAAAAAGAGAACATTATCAATAGTCATCTTCCCTTTTTCACTCTGCATTGGCATCCCTGCTTGACTATTTGTTTATTCGTTCTGCTCCTCTTCCTTGCGGATCACTCTTTCTCCCTGGCTCTGTGCATCAGATTGAGCATATGGCCGACAAGAACCATCCCAACATTGTGAGACTTCTTTGCTTTGCAATAGGAGGAGGCGTGAGGTCACGGGCAGAGCAAGTTCTCAACTATGAATACGTGCCCAATGGCGATCTTCGCCAATGGATTGATCCAAGTAAGTGTGCCGTAATCTCTATTTGTGCCTCGTAAGTGTTGTCATGTGCCTTTCACATGCGTGCCACTCATGCTGTGCCACACGACGCAATTTGAGTTGACTATAAGAAATCTAGGTGAACAAGGGACGATGCCACTTAGGTGACAGAACATGCCATTCTATTATGGCTCACCATGGCTCACGATGGATCTCCATATCTGCGCCATTGTATTATGGTGCACTGACCTCCTTCTGGAAGTCCATGTCGATCAGCCTTGCGTGCCTCACAGCCCACTCTGTGCCATCGCGGGAAGACATGCCCTTGAACACATCACCAAAGGCACCCGAGGCCAGCTGGTTGTCTTTTGACCAGTCATTGGTGGCCTCGATGACCCCTGCCAGTGAGAACTCCGTGCAGTTCAAGGCTGCCAGGCTGCTGCCAGTGCCTGCTTATTGTGTCAGAGGTGAAAGAAGGGCAGACGGGTGCAGGGAAACTGGCTCTTGGGTACGAGTTGGGTTGAGTGGTTTTGAGTTGATTCGAGTCTGGTCGAGACTGGTCGGCCTCGGGTTGGCCTCCACATCTAGGGATGAGCAATATGACGAACTCCTGTTCGGTTCGCCGAACATGATTTTTTTTGGCCTAAATTGTTCGGGGCGAACGTATTCGGTGTTCGCCCAAACACGTTTGCCGTTCGCCCGGCTCAGCTGGCCGAGGCGCGTCAAACACGAACGTTCTCGTGTTCAACACGGGCCTTCGACGAACACCAATGTGTTCGTCGACGAATAGGCAAGCGACCAATTTCTAGGTCGCGGGCCTTGGTGTTTGGGCTCAGATCTGGCATTTCGAAGTTAGTTATGTATAGATCTAGCATTTCGCCGTTGCTTAAGTGCGGATCAAGGCATTTCGCCGTTGCTTAAGTGCAGATCTAGCATTTCGCCGTTGCTTAAGAGCAGATCTAGCATTTCGCCGTTGCTTAAGTGCAGATCTATCATTTCGCCGTTGCTTAAGAGAAGATCTAGCATTTCGCCGTTGCTTAAGTGCAGATCTAGCATTTCGCCGTCACACGCTGGCACAAGCATGGATGAAGCAGGGCGGGACTGGCTTGGGGGGTGGGGGGAGGGAATGTGCAACGATTTGAATTTTACTCTAGTTGGACCTTACAGCCACCTAACAAATGTCAACAATGCACAATCCACAAACGTGTGACTTTAGTGAATGTAGTCCCGGGGCGAACACAAACGTGTTTGCCGCGAACACGTTCGTGTTCGCCTGCGTCAACAAGGTGTTCGCCTCCACTGGCGAACGGCGAACACTTTTTTTTGCTAAAGCTGTTCAGCGAACCGAACAGTGTTTGGTTCACCGAACGGCAGTGTTCGTGCAGGGGCGAACACGAACACGTTCATGTTCGCCTCTTGCTCATCCCTAGTTTGGAACATAGAATGTGAGGAGATGAGATTAGTGGGCAGGGCACGGATGGAGCATGAGAAAGCACACAAGGTGGACCTAGTTGGGTTGGGGTATGACAAGAGCATGCTGGGAGCCTCCCACTAGGAGGTAGGCCTGAGCAATAGGAGAACACAAACTAGCTTCTCTTGAACTCATCCAAACATTTCTAATAACCAAACCAAATGCGTTCGCACAACCCTTCCCTCTTCCTCGAGATCAATGCCGCGCAACCTTCTAACTTAACATCCCCTATGTTTCCCTACCGTTTATACTGATCTAAGCCAAATGTTACTAGCATCAATCGTAACAATCGCATGTGTGGCTTAGGATGTTGGCGTTCGCCATGCTTCAGACGAACACGACAAACAAACCAAATGTCTGGGAGGTACACATGAGAAAAACGTATCGCAGCTCGGTCCGAGCCCGGGCCAGTCCGCTTGCTCAACGCGGGTGTCACTACGGCCAGGACAGCTGTGACGAACAGAAAGCGGCCTGACCCAGGCTGACCAAACCAGAACCGACTGTCCGGACCACACAGGAGGCTTAACAGGCCAGATCTGAGCCGGGGATATTTGCTGATGGCCTGACCAAGGCCGAACTAAATTCGGACCGTGCTCATTCCTCCAAGGGTTTAAATGATTGATGTGACATGCACAACTATGTGACCCTGCCCGTCTGGGGCCAGAATTTGGCCCGGCCCGGCCTAACCACAAAAACGGCGGGGCGTGCATGCCCGGGCTATTGACGGCCTGCTGGGGAGGGCCGGGCTAGGCATGAACAATGGGTCGATTTGTCCCAACCTGTCCCGGCCTGTGCCGACTCGGGGCGGGTAGGAGTCAGGTCGGGTCGACACGACCTCGGGTCAGGTCAGGACCCCCCAACAGTTGCCTGATTTGGGCTTATAGGGTCACCCGACTCTG